ACTGATAAACCATGTCTTTGAACTGTCAGGGACAAAGACATGCCATTTCACAAAAATATAGTTGGCTAGCAGAGGTTTTAAAAGTTTATTTGGAATTGAAGTTGCCCAAAACATATACTCTCCCTCGAAACCTTTGCTTAAAATATGTACTCAGTGACAAAAAAACCCCCAAAGTATTCTTTAGAAAAATAACATACCTTGTTTACTGACAAACATCTTGTATTAATTCAGTGTACAAGGCACATTTCTTATTAACGTTCAGTTATGGATAGGATGTTGTTTCTCTGTGTTGAGAACACAGGGCATAATTCTTAATCAGTAGTCCAAAGTCTTGAGAAATTAAATACCAAATCCACATCAAGTCCGAATACACATGGGGTACTATCTTGAGGTGGCCATAAGGTTGTGCCACATGTATTTTGGTTTTCCCCTGATGTTAAGTCCAGTTGTGTCCGACTCTGGGGGTTGGCACTCATCTCCATTTCTAAGCCGAAGAGCCGGCGTTGTTCGTAGACACCTCCAAGGTCATGTGGCCGGCATGACTCGCCGGAGTGGTACCTATTGATCTACTCACATTTGCATGTTTTTGAACTGCTAGGTTGGCAGAATCTGGGGCTAACAGCGGGAGCTCACGCCACTCCTTGGATTCGAACCTGCGACCTTTCGGTCAGCAAGTTTAGCAGCTCAGTGGTTTAACCCAGGGGCTCCTGTCCCATATATAGTTTGCCTTAATTTGGGTTTCTAGAATATCTCACTTCCCTTGGCCATCTCTGTCCATCATCTCCACTCTTGCAGCAACACCTTTAAGACTAACTAGTTTTTAATTCCGCCTAAACATTCGTGGATATCAACCCACGTCTTCAGATGCTGCTCAGAGTAATATCCAGGGCTTTGGATATGAAGCATATTTACACAGTTGTGGGAACGGGAGTGGGTTCTGGAAAGATGTAAATCATGACCTTTGCTTATCCTCATGGATGTCTTGACCCCCTGACCTCTCTCGTTACAGATGTCCCTTCCTGGCTGAAGAGCCTTCGCCTCCACAAATATGCAGCCCTCTTCTCCCAAATGACTTATGAAGAAATGATGACACTCACAGAGCAGCATCTGGAATCTCAGGTATTCAAAGGCCCTCTCTGGAGATAGCTTCATAACAAAGACTTTGTTTAGTAACTTAATTGCCTTATGCTCCAGTTTGCTCATGAATGGGACTCAGAGCAGCTTACAGTATATGGTAGGCATCTATAGAGCCGCGACGGATTACTCGTTACTCGTAATAATTTTGTTAAAGTTACCTTTTTGAAGCGATTTCGAAGCATTTTAAAAACCCGGAAGTCCCTTTGCCCTTCCAAAGCTTTTTTCACCATTTTTGTTATGACTCAGGAAGTGAGTCGGAAATTTTCAGCCCTCTAGCTGGCTGGGAGGCTCCTTGCCTCCCCTCCCAGCCAATAAGGGGAGAAGTTTTGGAGAGGGGTGGGTTTTCGGCTCTGGCAGCCATTGCTGTATATAAAGGGGAGCACATGGCTCAGAGGCTCATTCAGAGCTGGGAAGGGAAGGGAGAAAGGGAAGGGAAAGATAAAGACTAAGATCAGAGTGAAGAGAGGGGCCAGGAAGGCAGTTCCATCTTGCCTCCAGTGTCATCAGTTGGGAGCCCTCCCCCCCTCCCAGCCAATCAGGGGAGAAGTTTTGGGGGAGGGGAGGGGTTTCAGCACTGGCAGCCATTGCTGCATATAAAGGGGAGCACATGGCTCAGAGGCTCATTCGGAGCTGGGAAGGGAGAAGGGGAAAGGGAAAGATAAAGACTAAGATCAGAGTGAAGAGAGGGGCCAGGAAGGCAGTTCCATCTTGCCTCCAGTGTCATCAGTTGGGAGCCCTCCCCCCCCCCCAGCCAATCAGGGGAGAAGTTTTGGGGGAGGGGAGGGGTTTCAGCACTGGCAGCCATTGCTGCATATAAAGGGGAGCACATGGCTCAGAGGCTCATTCGGAGCTGGGAAGGGAGAAGGGGAAAGGGAAAGATAAAGACTAAGATCAGAGTGAAGAGAGAGGGACCAGGAAGGCAGTTCCATCTTGTCTCCTGCACTGTGCTTATTATATTATATTATATTATATTATATTATATTATATTATATTATATATTGTATATATATAATATTGGTAATGTTATCTATATAAATAAAATACAATGTTCGTTTGTGGGATTAACAAAACTTGGACACAATAAACCTATCAGGCCAGTGAGTGACCATCACTCATAAAAACACTGAAAATACAGCAGAAGAAACTTAAAAAGCCAAAAAATAAGAAATACATTACAACGCATGCACAACACCACATATATATACGCAAACACACACACACATATATATATACACACACAAAACACAAAAGACTGGGCCACAGCAACGTGTGGCAGGCGACGGCTAGTAATGTAATACAATATAATACCTACTACTAATAATATATTATAATTATATATATTTATTACATGTAATATTACTAATAATGTTACAGTATAATGTTATAGTACAATATATTTATTTATTTATTTGGTACACTTGTATACCGCTAATTTCTCAGCCTAGAACGGCGACTCAATTGCGGTTTACAGCATTTTAAAAACAATCTCAGTTTAAAAAACATATACAAATACAATAACAAATTATTGGGCCACCAATAATAATCCCATATATCTCAAGTTAAAATCACAATCCAGAGTTCGTTGTCCATATTTCCTGTCCATAGTCACCAAGATTCGATTTAATTGCCACAGATTAGCCGAATGCTTGTTTGAATAACCATGTTTTGAGTCTCTTCCTAAACACCATCAGCGACGAGGCTGATCGTACCTCTATAGGGAGGGCGTTCCAAAGCCGAGGGGCCACCACAGAGAAGGCCCTATCTCTCGTTCCCGCCAGCCGCACTTCTGAAGCTGGAGGGATAGAGAGAAGGGACTCTCCGGAAGATCTTAGGGTCCTGGTGGGCTGATAGGCTGAGATACGTTCGGATAGATAAGTTGGGCCAGAACCGTTTAGGGCTTTAAAGGCCAACGCCAGCACCTTGAATTGAGCCCGGTAGCATATCGGCAGCCAGTGGAGCTGGTTCAGCAAGGGAGTTGTATGCTCCCTGCGATCAGCTCCTGTTAAAAACATGGCTGCCGCCCGTTGGACTAACTGGAGCTTCCGGACTGTCTTCAAAGGCAACCCCACGTAGAGAGCGTTGCAGTAATCAAGGCGGGATGTAACCAGAGCGTGGACTACCGTGGCTAAGTCAGACTTCCCAAGGTACGGTCGCAGTTGGCGCACAAGTTTTAACTGTGCGAAGGCTCCCCTGGTCACCGCCGAAACCTGGGGTTCCAGGTCAGCGATGAGTCCAGGATCACACCCAAGCTGCGAACCTGTGTCTTCAGGGGGAGTGCGACCCCGTCTAACACAGGCTGTAACCCTGTACCCTGTTCGGCCCTACGACTGACCAGGAGTACCTCTGTCTTGTCTGGATTCAATTTCAATTTGTTTGCCCCCATCCAGACCGTCACAGCGGCCAGCACCGGTTCAGGACCTCGACAGCCTCCTTAGTAGCAGGTGGAAAGGAGTGACAGAGTTGGACATCATCTGCGTACAGATGACATCGCACTCCGAAACTCCGGATGATCTCCCCCAGCGGCTTCATGTAGATGTTAAACAACATGGGAGACAGTATTGAACCCTGAGGAACTCCACAAGACAAAGGTTGTGGGGTTGAACAGGAGTCTCCCAGTAACACCTTCTGAGACCGACCCTCGAGGAATGAGCGGAGCCACTGCAGAACAGTACCTCCAAGACCCATCCCCGCGAGGCGTCCCAGAAGGATACCGTGGTCGACGGTATCGAAGGCCGCTGAGAGGTCGAGCAGCACCAACAGGGACACACTCCCCCTGTCGAGCTCCCGACGCAGATCATCCACTAAGGCGACCAAGGCTGTCCAGTACCATGCCCCGGCCTAAAGCCAGACTGTGCCGGATCCAGATAATCCGTGTCTACCAAGAATGCCTGGAGTTGTGAGGCCACCACACGTTCCATGACTTTGCCCAAAAAGGGGAGATTGGAAACAGGCCGATAGTTGACGAATTGAGTGAGGTCCAGTGATGGTTTCTTCAACAGCGGTTTTATCACAGCTTGCTTTAAGCTGGCTGGAATTTTGCCTTCCCGAAGGGAGGCATTAACCACCACCTTCACCCACTCGGCCAATCCCCCTCTGGCCTCCTTTAGAAGCCAGGATGGGCAGGGGTCTAGGATGCATGTGGTAGCTCTCATTCCTCCAAGCACCTTGTCCACATCCGCGGATTGAACCAATTGAAATGAATCCATCAAAACCGGACAAGCAGATGCTCGTGTTACATCCTCAGAGACTGCCGTTAATATGGTATCCAGACCAGAGCGGATCAAAGCGACTTTGTCTGCAAAGAACTGAGCAAAGGCTTCACATCGAGCTGTAATATGTAATATTAATATGCTATGATAATAATATAATATATTGTATTTACAATTTACTTGTAAGCCGCTCTGAGTCCCCTTCGGGGTGAGGAGGGCGGCATAGAAATGTCATTCATAAATCTATATAAATAAAAATGTAATGTTCGTTTGTGGGATTAACAGAACTCAAAAACCACAGGCTTCGAACCTCCGACCTGTTGGTCTTCAATCCTGCTGGCACAGGGGTTTAAACTATTCCGCCATTGGGGCTCCCTACCTGTGAATGCCTCCTGTTCTCTGGCAAGTGTGTTTCATCCCTCTTTCTCCCTCTTTTCCCACCTTGTCCCCACAGAACGTGACCAAAGGAGCAAGGCACAAAATTGCCCTGAGTATCCAGAAGTTGCGAGAAAGGCAGAGTGTGTTGAAGTCTCTGGAGAAGGTAAGAGGAACCGTGCAGAGGAACTTTTGGCAGAGGTTGTTGCGGGTATTTCAGATTGCATGGCCATGTTCTAGAAGCATTCTCTCCTGATGTTTTGCCTGCATCTGTGGCAAGCATCCTCAGAGGTTGTGAGGTTTTGGCAGAGGCTCTAATATTATAAACTGAAAATGAACAAAATCTGGCTACTAATATTAAAAAAACTCTAAAATTATAACAGTAAAACAGCACTCAAACACAGGGGAACTCCAGACAGGAAACAATAAGGGACAGCTAATCACATCTCAACAAAGGATTCCCCCTAGGCACTAACAAGCCACACCTAAAAATGTAATTTCTCCCACCCTTGACATCATTCCACAGATATGTAAGCCTCACTTATGGGGACTGTTCCCATAAGTAATGGGGCATATTGCACAGTTTATGCAGAACTTGCATTTTTTCTATATGGAACATTATTTTCCTGGCAGAAAACCGTGTACAATTTTTGTGCTGAATAAGTTTTTAAATGCAAATTGCCTTTGAAAACTCATTTTTGAACCTTTTCTCTGAGTGGGAAGAAAATTGCTAAATTTGCTTGTTGATTCCTTCAATAATGTAATGCAATATAATAATAATAATAATAATAATAATAATAATAATAATAATAATAATAATGACAATATGATGTTATAATTCTATATTTATATTACATGTAATATTACTAATAATATTACGATATAGTGGTATGGTGCAATATCATAATATTATTAGTAATATTACATGTAATATAAATATAGAATTATAATATCATATTATTATTATTATTATTATTATTATTATTATTATTATTATTATAGCAATGTTTAATGCTAATATTGTACTATGCTAATAATATAAGATACTGTATGTAATATATACCTTGTAAGCTGCTCTGAGTCCCCTTTGGGGTGAGAAGGGTGGCATATAAATGTCGTAAATAAATAAATAAATAAATATAAATAAAAAACTGCCAGGCCATCAAATGCTAATCAAGATGGCCAGTTGCAACATTCACTCTTTCCTCCAACAGACAAGAGTTCTTTCTCCCACCCTGGACATTCCAAAAATATATAAACCCCATTTTCCTAGTTTCCAACAGACCTCACAACCTCACAGGATGACCTCACAGGATGCTTGCCATAGATGCAGGCGAAACGTCAGAAGAGAATGCTTCCAGAACATGGACATATAGCCTGAAAAACCTACAACAACCCGATGTTTTCATGGTTGGATTTTAATCATATTTGTTTATTTTTGGATTTATTTTTGTTGACACTTAATCACTGCCTATTGTCAGGTCACCCCGAGTCCTCTTCGGGGTGAGAAGGGTGGGGTACAAATGTGGGAAATAAATAATAATAATAATAATAATAATAATAATAATAATTTTAAAAAACTTTATTTATACCCCGCTACCATCTCCCCAAGGGACTTGGTGCGGCTTACACGAGGCCAAGCCCACAGTACATCAGTAAACAAAGGCAATAACAAAAACAATCAATACAAAACAATTAATATAAATCACATAAACAAAAATAAACAAATAAATTAGTAGTGGGAGGTGGGCACTAGTAGGCAAAGAAGTCTAGGGTGATCACAAAGCATGTTCTCCCTCTCTTCTTTCTGCCCTCCTCTCCCATTCCTTTCTTTCTGGCAGGACATCCTGGAAGGCGGGAACTTGTGGAATGCTCTCCAAGAACTGCAGCAGATCGTCATCACCCCCATCAAAGCCTTCCATGCCCTGCAGGCCACGGCAGCATCCAAGGAGGGCCCGCCGCTGGCAGCGGAACAGCCGCATGGGGCCCCGGCCCTGGGCCTGGAGAAGAGTGGGGGCCCCGAGGACAAGGAGCCGACCCCAGATGCCTTCCCACCCGCCACGGGCTCCCCTTGCGACGGGGAGTCGGGCGCCGCGCCTATCGCCGAAGGGGACATCCCTGGGCAATTCACCCGGGTGATGGGCAAAGGTGAGTCCTTACGGTTGAGGTCATGGGTAGAGCAGCCAATGGGAGTATCATACTAGCATTCTGAGTTTACTCAAATCTAACGCTCACCTTTTCTAGGCAAAATCATCTTGCAAAAATTAGGGTGTGCACTAGATTTGCGTAATATGGTAATATTCATGCAAAGCCAGAGCAAAAGGGGAAGCTGCTTCAGAAGCTGCACCTGGAGCTCCTATTTGAGGGATGTCACCTGTAATTTAATTGTCATAGATCAGTACTATGTAATCCTGGGATTTGTACTTTGGTGAGCGTCTACACTCTTAACAACAACAAAAACAACAACAACAATAAAAATAATAAACCTTATTTCTAGACCACACCTCTCTCTCAAAAGAGACTCAGAGTGGTTACAAAAACAGACAAATATTCAGTGCCTTGCAAAGTAACAAACAACATCAGAAAGGTATTGTCGAAAGCTTTCATGGCCGGAATCACTGGGTTGCTGTGAGTTTTCCGGGCTGTCTGGCTATGTTCCAGAAGCATTCTCTCCTCACGTTTCGCCCACATCTATGGCTGACATCCTCAGAGGTTGTGAGATGTGTTGGAAACTAGGCAAATGAGGCTTACATATCTGTGGAATGATGTCCAGGGTGGGAGAAAGAACTCTTGTCTGTTGGAGACAAGTGTGAATATTGCCATTGACAACCTTGATTAGCACTGCAAAGCCTTGCAACTTCAAGGCCTGGCTGATTCCTGCCTGGGGGAATCTTTCCTTGGGATTGTTTCCTGGCTGGAAGGAGGAAACCATGAAAACGAACAAAATCTGGCTACCAGTATTAAAAATAACTCTAAAATTAGTACAGTAGGTAAAGAACAACACTCTGAAAACAGGGTAATTTCAGACAGGAAACAATCAGGGCCAGCTAACACCTTCCAACAAAGGATTCCCCCAGGCAGGAAGAGCCAGGCCTTGAAGCTGCAAGGCTTTGCAATACTAATCAAGGTGATTAGATGTGGGTGAAACGTCAGGACAGAATGTTCCTGGGACATGGCCATACAACCTGGAAAACCCACAGCAACCCGTATCGTGTCCTTAAGCACCTAGGCCAGCGTTTCTCAACCTGGGGGTTGGGACCACTGGGGTATGTTGCGAATGGGGTGTCAGATGGGTCGCCAAAAACCATCAGAAAACACAGTATGTTCTGTTGGTCATGCGGGTTCTGTGTGGAAAGTTTGGCCCAATTCTATCATCGGTGAGGTTCAGAATTCTCTTTGATTGTAGCTGAATTATAAATCCCAGCAACTACAACTCCCAAATATCAAGGTCTAGTTTCTCCAGACTCCACCAGTGTTCACATTTGGGCATATTGGGTATCCGTGGCAAGTTTTGTCTGGATCCATCATTGTTTCAGTCCACAGTGCTCTCTGGATGTAGGTGAACTACAACTCCCAAACTCAAGGTCAATGCCCACCAAACCCTTCCAGTATTTTCTGTTGGTCAGGGGAGAACTGTGTGCCAAGTTTGGTTCAATTCCATCGTTGGTGGGGTTCAGAATGCTCTTTGATTGTAGGTGAACTATAAATCCCAGCAACTACAACTCCCAAATGTCAAGATTCTATTTTCCCCAAACTCCACCAGTGTTCACATTTGGGCATATTGAGTATTCGTGTAGAGTTTGGTCCAGATCCATCATTGTTTGAGTCCACAGTGATCTCTGGATGTAGGTGAACTACAATTCCAAAACCAAAGGACACTGCCCACCAAACCCTTCCAGTATTTTCTGTTGGTCATGGGAGAACTGTGTGCCAAGTTTGGTTCAATTCCATCATTGGTGGGGTTCAGAATGCTCTTTGACTGTAGGTGAACTATAAATCCCAGCAACTACAACTCCCAAATGACAAAATCAATTTTTTTTTGAGTGAAGGACATACATTGGGTTGTTAGGTGTCTTGTGTCCAAATTTGGTGTCAATTCGTCCAGTGGTTTTTGAGTTCTGTTAATCCCACAAACGAACATTACATTTTTATTTATATAGATTATTATTGTCTTTCCCTGCAGTGTGTACGCAGTTGCTGGTCTCCCGGCCTGATGAGGAGAACATCACCAGTTACCTACAGCTGATAGAGAAATGCCTGATGCATGAGGTGGGTGTCCGGTTCAGTTTGCCAAGGGCTCCGTGCACTTGCGAACTCAGAGGAGTCCTTCCCCTACAAGTGTATTTACTCTCTTCGTCTTGTCACCCTGTCCTCGAAAGGCGTTCACAGAGACACAGAAGAAGCGGCTCTTGTCTTGGAAGCAGCAGGTGCTGAAGTTGCTCCGGACCTTTCCCAGGAAGGCTGTGCTGGACATGCAAGGCTACCGCCCGCAGAAGGGGTGAGTCCAGGGGAGCAAAGCATAGGCCAAAGCAAAGAGAGTGATGGTGATGTTTATTTATTTATTTATCGTGTCAGGAGCAGATCAAACAGTTGTGTTGCATTTTTAACAAACAAACAACAAAATACAAAGTTTGCAAGCTTGGTAGTTGATTAAATGTCCTTTGACCAGTATCTGGCCACTTGGGGTGCTTCTGGTGTTGCCGCAAGGAGGTCTTCCATTGTGCATGTGGCAGGGCTCACATTGCATTGCAGCAGGTGGTCTGTGGTTTGGTCTTCTCCACACTCGTATGTCGTGGATTCAACTTTGTAGCCCCATTTCTGAAGGTTGGCTCTGCATCTCGTGGTGCCAGAGCGCAGTCTGTTCGGCGCCTTCCAAGTCGCCCAGTTTTCTGTGTGCCCAGGGGGGAGTCTCTCATTTGGTATCAGGTTCTGGGTTTGAGCCTGCCACATTTGGACTCTCGCTTGCTAGGGTGGTCCAGCAAGTGTCTCTGTAGATCTTAGAAAACTATTTCTTGATTTAAGTCGTTGATGGTGATGTTGATAATAATTATAATATAATAATAATAACACTTCATTTATACACCGCTACCATCTCCCCAGAGGACTCGGTGCAGCTTACATGAGGCTGAGCCCAAAATACAACAATACAAACAATAACAATACAAGCAATTTAAAATAACAAAACAATAAAACAATAACACATGCATTATCAATAGGACAACACACTTTAAAATCTGTTTAAACTCATTTAAAATAATGATAGAATGACCACAGCTTAGCAAAGCTGTATTTTCAATGTCATTTCTCATTGGTTCTATCATAAAAACATGAAAAAAAGTTTATTAAACTGGAAAAACTGATTTTTCCAAGACATTCTGCAGCAAATTTTGCTATAGTTTTTCAATGCCTATTTCATTGAGTCTAAACCAATTCCAACCTAAGCTGCTGTGAGTTTTCCAAGCTGCATGGCCATGTTCCGGAAGCATTCTCTCCTGACATTTCGCCCGCATTTAAGAGTGGCATCCTCAGGGTCTGTTGGCAACTAGGAAAATGGGGTTTCTCTCTGTGGAATAATGTCCAGGGTGGAAGAAAGAACTCTTGTCTGAAATTAAACCGCTCATCCGCTCTCTCCCTGGATTCGAACCTGCGACCTGTTGGTCTTCGGTCCTGCCGGCACTAAAATGCCGGAGGGTTCACAAAAGGAGCTTTCTGTGCCTTCAGAATCATAGAGTTGGAAGAGACCTCCTGAGCCATCCAGTCCAACCCCATTCGGCCAAGAAGCAGGAAAATTGCATTCAAAGCACACCCGACAGATGGCCAACCAGCCTCTGTTTCAAAGCTTCCAAAGAAGGAGCCTCCACCACACTCCGGGGCAGTGAGTTCCACTGCTGAACAGCTCTCACAGTCAGGAAGTTCTTCCTAATGTTCAGATGGAATCTCCTTTTTTGTAATTTGAAGCCATTGCTCCAAATCATCATCATTGCTTTTGATGATGTTGTTTGTTGTCTATGTTTTCGGTTTTATTCCGCTGTAATATATTGTCCGGGCTTGGCCCCATGTAAGCCGCTCCGAGTCCCCGCTGGGGAGATGGTGGCAGGGTAGAAATAAAGATGATGATGATGATGATGATGATGATGATGATGATGATGATGATTGCGTCCTAGTCTCCAGGGCAGCAGAAAACAAGCTTGCTCCCTCCTCCCAATGATTTCCTGTCACATATTTATACATGGCTATCATGTCTCCTCTCAGCCTTCTCCTCTTCAGGCTAAACATGCCCAGCTCTTTAAGCCGCTCCTCATAGGGCTTGTTCTCTAGACCCTTGATCTTTTTAGTCACCTTCCTGCAAGCTGTGGAAAAGCTGTGAAAAAGCACAAGGAAAATTGTGACAAGAGAAGAGCATTGCTAGTCTCTGTGTGTATATACCTGCCACTCAATTGATGTCAGGAAGAATGCTCGCTGAAAGGAATGAAACTCAATTACTCGTCTCCAAGCTGTCTCATTTTTGGAAGAAAAGAAAACCCTCTTATTAATGAATTGAATGAAACCACATTATAGTCACAACTTTTTTTTTTTGTTAAATGAGTTCTTTTATGCCGAAGAGAAGCTTGTCACTTCAGTCTGGGTGCTACAAAACCCTCTCCTATTGTGGCGGTGCAGCGTGTATGTTTTCTTTTGAAAGAGGCTTTTATTGCTTTTCCAAACCCCAAAAGGGCTTTGCGTGGGGTGGCGCATTGCTGCCTCTCACCTGAGCCTCCTCCGTTTACTCGGCTGATCTTTTCAGATTGGTTCCTTCTTCTCTTTCTCTCAGTTGGCTGCCCATCTTTTAGGGAAGGGAAATACTCTGAACACACTTTATAAAGATCTAAATTCAGGCAAGTCTTTGGCAGCTTTTGGGAATTATTCCTGTTATACCAGACAAATTCACCTTATGTCTGGAGGCTCTAACTGGCTACGTGCTAGTAGGCTGAAGGTGAATCCGGTGAAGACTGAGATCCTTTGGCATGGCCACCCGATAGGCTTGACCCATCCGTTACCTCCCTTTGATGACGCTGCTCTATCCCCATTGCCTACCATTAAGAGCCTTGGTGTCGTTTTGGATTTGCAGCTGACAATGGAAGCTCAGGTCGCTGCTGCCAGCAAACAGGCCTTTTTCCATCTACGACTGAGGAGGCCCTGCTCTCGATCCCGTCTGCTTCGCAAGCACGCCTGGCGGGGACAAGAGACAGGGCCTTCTCTGTGGTGGCCCCTCGGCTGTGGAACTCCCTGCCTAGGGATATTAGATCAGCCCCCTCCCTCCTGACCTTTCGTCAGAGAGTGAAAACCTGGCTCTACGAGCAGGCATTCGGAACCCCAGAATAGTCAAGCTTGAGATGGAGAATGACCCAGGAACAGCCAAGATGATGAAACGGATGAGGATTGGAATGAGAGGATATAGCTAACCCTGGAATAGTCAAGCTTGAGATGGAGAATGACCCAGGAACGGCCAAGACGATAAAACGGATGAGGATTGGAATGAGAGGATATAGCTCTTTTTAAATTGTTATTGCACTGTCTTTTTTTTTCTAAATGCACTTAATTGTTTTTGCTTTTGTATTGTATTGATGGCATCGAATTGTGCCGCTCTGAGTCGCTTGCAGGCTGATATGGGCTGGATATAAGTGATGTAAATAAATAAATAATAAATAAATAAAGAAATACGACAAGCGAGGCAGTTGGCACCCTACCTGTCGGATGAGGCTCTGGCAACGGTCATCCATGCCACGGTCACATCTCGGCTGGACTATTGCAACACCCTGTATGTCTACAACCCGAAAGCTCCGTATTGTTCAAAATGCTGCAGCCAGGTTACTCACAAAATCGCCTATGAAATGCCATATAACACCAGTGCTGCAGCATTTGCATTGGCTTTCAATTGATTATCGTGGTCTGTATAAGATGCTAGTCCTGACCTTTAAACCTTTGACTTGTGGGGTTCCACAGGGCTCTATACTGTCCCCCATGCTGTTTAATATCTACATGAAGCCGCTGGGTGAGATCATCCGGAGTTTCGGGGTGCGGTGTCATCTGTACGCAGATGATGTCCAACTCTGTCACTCCTTCCCACCTGCTACTAAGGAGGCTGTCGAGGTCCTGAACCGGTGCCTGGCCGCTGTAACGGTCTGGATGAGGGCGAACAAATTGAAATTGAATCCAGACAAGACAGAGGCACTCCTGGTCAGTCGAAAGGCCGAACGGGGTATAGGGTTACAGCCTGTGTTGGACGGGGTTACACTCCCCCTGAAGACGCAGGTTCGCAGCTTGGGTGTGACCCTGGATTCATCGTTGAGCCTGGATCCCCAGGTTTCAGGGGTGACCAGGGGAGCATTTGCACAGCTTAGGCTCGTGCGCCAGCTGCGCCCGTACCTTGGGAAGTCTGACTTGGCCACGGTGGTACACGCTCTGGTCACATCCCGGCTTGACTACTGCAACGCTCTCTACGTGGGGCTGCCCTTGAAAACGGCCCGGAAGCTTCAGCTGGTTCAGCGTGCGGCAGCCATGTTACTAACTGGAGCGGGATACAGGGAGCACACAACACCCTTGTTGTCCCAGCTCCACTGGCTGCCGATTTGCTACCGGGCCCAATTTAAGGTGCTGGTGTTGGCCTACAAAGCCCTAAACGGTTCCGGCCCAAAATACCTTTGTGACCGCATCTCGGCCTATGAGCCCACGAGGACCTTGAGATCGTCTGGGGAGGCCCTTCTCTCGATCCCGCCTGCCTCACAGGCACGTCTGGCGGGGACGAGAGAGAGGGCCTTCTCGGTGGTGGCCCCCCGGCTGTGGAACACTCTCCCTGTAGACATCAGACAGGCGCCCTCCCTCATGACCTTCCGAAAAAGCCTTAAGACATGGCTGTTCGAGAAGGCATTTAATTAAGTGTTATAACTATGTGGTAAAGATGATTGGAATGGAATAAGGAATATGAGATTGGCTTATGATTCCACTATGAGACGAAGCGGATTTTTAGTGTAGTTTTTGTAATTGTTATGTAGTTGATATGTTGTTGTAATTGCCTTTTTGTAAATTGTCTTTTATATGTGTGTACACCGCCATGAGTCGCCCTAAAGGGCTGAGAATGGCGGTTAATAAATGCATCAAATAAATAAATAAATAAATAAAACTTTGTACGGCCAGGGTCCATCATATATCAGAGACCGTCTCTCCTTCTTCCATCATCGGAGGTCGCCACGTCCTTCCCAACGTGATTTATTCTATATATCAGGTCCTAGAGAAGTGCATTTGGAAAGTACCAGGCGCATGGCTTTCTCTATCTCTGCCCCTGCCTTATGGAATTCCTTGCCGCCCTACTTGAGAGCCATGCGTGACTTAGGGCCTTTTACTCTAGCACTCAAGACCTGGCTTTTTACTAGAGCATTTGACTCATGTTAATTTATTAATATCTGTTTGTATGTATTTTATTCTGTACAAATATCTCTTTGTAAATCGCCTAGGAAATCTCGGATGGAGGGCTACCAGTTTTAAAAATGATGGAGGGCTACCATCATAAAACCATTGAAACTTACTTGATTTGACATAAGAGGCATGGGAGTGAAAGAGCTCAGTCATAGAATGAATTGAACACCTAAGTCAAGGTATCGCTGTATTTACATTGGTCTCATTTTTCCCCCTACCTTTGCCCCTCCCCTCTCCTTTCCCAGATGGGCCTTCGGTTCCAACTCCCTCCCCATAGCTGGCTCTGTGGGGGTCGGGGTGGCCCGCCGAGGACAGCGGCAGTTCCAGATGCCCCCCCGCGCCATCCCTCCCAGCCGCTTGGGGATCCTGAGCCCCGCAGGGATCGGAGGGGTCTCCCCCCGCCACGGACTCGCCAGCCCCAACCTGGGGAGCCAAGGACGGCAGGTAAGGAGGAGGGCAGCAACGGGCCTTTTGGAAAGGAGTGGCAGTTTCCAGTTGAACAGTCAGTCATTTTTGTTTGGTCAGAAGTTTTCCTCTTCTTCTTTTTACTCCTCCTCTTGTATGATTTGTACCCATTTATACTCAAGTCACATGCATCATCGAATTAATAGGTAAAGGTTTCCCCTTGACATTAAGTCCAGTCATGTCTGACTCTGGGACTCTGGTGCTTATCTCCATTTCTAAGCCGAAGAGCTGGCGTTGTCCGTAGACATCTCCAAGGTCATGTGGCTAGCATGACTGCAGGGAGCATCCTTATCTACCTGCAGAAGCGGTACCTATTGATCTACTCACATTTGCATGTTTTCGAACTGCTAGGTTGGCAGAAGCTGGAGCTAACAGTGGGAGCTCAGCCTGCTCCCTAAATTCAAACCACTGACCCTTCGCTCAGCAAGTTCAGCAGCTCAGCGGTTTAATCTGCTGTGCCGCCAGAGGGCTCAAATCTTCCAGCAAAGGAAAAGAATACCTTGGGATGCATCTCTGCATAACTGTCTTGGTTCAATGCTATGGAGTTATGAGGGGGATGTAGCTTTACAATGCCCTGATCCTTCTCTGCCAAAGCATGCTGATACCTCATCAAACTACAAATCCCATGGTCCCATAGCATGGAGCCATGAGAATTCAGTTAAAAACTAGCTGTCCTCTGCCACGCATTGCTATGGCCCAGTCTGTGTATATGTGTTTTGTGTGTGTGTATATATATATATATGTATGTGTGTGTGTTTGTGTCTATATATGTGGTTTTGCACATGCATTGTAATGGGGTTTTTTTTGGCTTTTTAAGCCCCTTCCTCTGTGTTTTTATGAGTTATGGTCACTCATTGGCCTTGTGTCTATATATGTGGTTTTGCACATGCGTTGTAATGTATATATTTTTTGGCTTTTAAGCCCCTTCTGTTGTGTTTTTCAGTGTTTTTATGAGTGATGGTCACTCATTGGCCTGGTAGGTGTCTTGTGTTCAAATTTGGTGTCAATCCATCCAGTGTTTTTTGACTTGTGTTATTCCCACAAATGAACATTACATTTTTTATTTATATAAATGACATTCCCTCAAAGAGGAGCTCCTGAAGCAGCTTCCTCTTTTGTTTTGGCTCAGCACTAATATGACCATATTACATGAACCTAATGTGCACCCCAATTTTGGCATGGTCATTTAGCCAAAAAAGGTGAGCATTAGGTTCGAGTAAATACGGTAATTCCTTTGCCAGTGGCAATTCGAAAGCTTGCATGAAGAGTGTTGTACATTTTTGTCTGGGCCTCATCAAGGTATCTCTTGTTTTGTGGGTCTTACTCACCTTGGTTTCCTTTCGCCCTCAGAACCTGTGGTTTGCCAACCCCGGGGGCAGTAACAGCATGCCCGGCCAGAGCCGCAGTTCCGTGCAGCGGACCCATTCGCTCCCCGTCCACACCTCCCCTCAGGCCATCCTCATGTTCCCGCAGGGTAAGACAACCGGCCTCTTCACGTGCATCATCTGTGTGTGCTTTTTCAAAGAAGCAGCCATGTTTAGTCTCCTGCTGCATCAAAACACACACCTCTAGCAGCACCTTTTTAACGAGGAGACCCTAATGATACATGTTTTTATTGATTTTGTTGATTCTGCTATGGTTTTATTATTCATTGTTTTATTGTATTGAAATTGTGTTTTACGGTCTTGGTACCAACTGTAAACCGTCCCGAGTCACCTATTGGCTGAGAGGGATGTTATATAAATATAGTAAATAAATAAATAAATAAATGGGTTTCTATGTATATCAATCCACTTCGTTAGATTTATTTATTTACTACACTTTTATCCCGCCCTTTTCAGCCCGAAGGTGACTCAGGGCTGTGTATGGACTGGCAACCATTAGATGCCGAACATGCATAAACACATCATTTAGAACAGGTTAAATCACGTAATAAAATTCATATCAAAACAATTTTAAACTATTAAAATCAATGACTTCTGGGTTTATATCCATGTCCATTTGCATCGTTAAGCCGTTCCATATTTATTCACAATCCTAAGTTTATCTGGTTACAATGAGGTTCCAAAAGCTTGCTCGAAGAGCCAGGTTTTAATAATAATAATAATAATAATCTTTATTTATACCCCGCCACCATCTCCCCAGTGGGGACTCGGGGTGGCTGACATGAGGCCAAGCCCTTCTAAAATACAATACAACACAGTAAAATGCAAAATAAAATACAATTTAATAATAATAATAATATTAATAATAATAATCTTTATTTATACCCCGCCACCATCTCCCCAATGGGGATTCGGGGCGGCTGACATGAGGCCAAGCCCTTCCAAAATACAACACAGTAAAATACAAAATACAAAACAAAATACAATTTAATAATAATAATAATAATATTAATAATAATAATCTTTATTTATACCCCGCCACCATCTCCCCAATGGGGATTCGGGGCGGCTGACATGAGGCCAAGCCCTTCCAAAATACAATACAACACAGTAAGATACAAAATAAAATACAATTTAATAATAATAATATTAATAATAATAATCTTTATTTATACCCCGCCACCATCTCCCCAATGGGGATTCTGGGCGGCTGACATGAGGCCAAGCCCTTCCAAAATACAATACAACACAGTAAAATGCAAAATAAAATACAATGTAATAATAATAATATTAATAATAATAATCTTTATTTATACCCCGCCACCATCTCCCCAATGAGGACTCGGGGCGGCTGACATGAGGCCAAGCCCTTCCAAAATACAATACAACACAGTAAAATGCAAAATAAAATACAATTTAATAATAATAATAATATTAATAATAATAATCTTTATTTATACCCCGCCACCATCTCCCCAATGGGGATTTGGGGCGGCTGACACGAGGCCAAGCCCTTCCAAAATACAATACAACACAGTAAAATGCAAAATAAAATACAATGTAATAATAATAATATTAATAATAATAATCTTTATTTATACCCCGCCACCATCTCCCCAATGAGGACTCGGGGCGGCTGACATGAGGCCAAGCCCTTCCAAAATACAATACAACACAGTAAAATGCAAAATAAAATACAATTTAATAATAATAATAATAATATTAATAATAATAATCTTTATTTATACCCCGCCACCATCTCCCCAATGGGGATTCGGGGCGGCTGACATGAGGCCAAGCCCTTCCAAAATACAATACAACACAGTAAAATGCAAAATAAAATACAATTTAATAATAATAATAATAATATTAATAATAATAATCTTTATTTATACCCCGCCACCATCTCCCCAATGGGGATTTGGGGCGGCTGACATGAGGCCAAGCCCTTCCAAAATACAATACAACACAGTTAGATACAAAATAAAATACAATTTAATAATAATAATAATGATAATAATAATCTTTATTTATACCCCGCCACCATCTCCCCAATGGGGATTCGGGGCGGCTGACATGAGGCCAAGCCCTTCCAAAATACAATACAACACAGTAAAATGCAAAATAAAATACAATTTAATAATAATAATAATATTAATAATAATAATCTTTATTTATACCCCGCCACCATCTCCCCAATGGGGATTCGGGGCGGCTGACATGAGGCCAAGCCCTTCCAAAATACAATACAACACAGTTAGATACAAAATAAAATACAATTTAATAATAATAATAATGATAATAATAATCTTTATTTATACCCTGCCACCATCTCCCCAATGGGGATTCGGGGCGGCTGACATGAGGCCAAGCCCTTCCAAAATACAATACAACACAGTTAGATACAAAATAAAATACAATTTAATAATAATAATAATAATATTAATAATAATAATCTTTATTTATACCCCGCCACCATCTCCCCAATGGGGATTCGGGGCGGCTGACATGAGGCCAAGCCCTTCCAAAATACAATACAACACAGTAAAATACAAAATACAAAACAAAATACAATTAAAAAATAAAAATGATAATAATAATAATAAAAATTATAATAATTACAATAATAAAATGAAATGGTACAACAAATTCACACACACACAACCAAATAGGATGGGCAGGCCAAGAGAACAAGATAAACAGATAAAACCCTGAGTAAGCTAGGATTAGAAAATAAAAAATAATGAGTGGGCCCAAAACAAAAAACTTTAAAATGGGGGGAAAGTATGTCATAGGGGAACACTATAGATGGGGCAACACAACTGGTATAGATGGTCACGACCAAAAAGCCAGGTTTTACTCTTTTCCTAAAGGTCAGGAGGGAGGGGGGCAATCTAATACCATCTTGATATATGTGTTGTCAAAGGCTTTTACCTCGATAGTATTAATGCAACAGGTTTTCAAGCAAACAGTTGTCCTTCCTGCATTAAGATCACTTCTGACCACAAGATCATGAGTTCACAGCTAGCCCGAGTCGGAGTGAGCGTCCGACCAATTGCGTAGCTTGTTGTCGACCTTTGCAACCCGAAAGACAATTGCATCTGTCAAGTAGGAAAATTAGGTACCACCTTGTGTGGGGAGGCTAAATTAACTAATTTACGAGGCCATAAAAAGACTCCAGCAAAGCTCTCCAGCAAAAGCATGCGGGGAATGCGGAAGTACTTCATCAGTGTCGCAGATGGACGATGAAAGCGACAGCTCCCCTGGCGGCCAGAAAAAGTTAAATAGCCTCTGTGTATATCTATATACGTTGTATGTCTTATTGGCATTGAATGTTTGCCATATATGTGTACATTGTAATCCGCCTTGAGTCCCCTGCGGGGTGAGAAGGGCGGAATATCAAGGCTGTAAATAAATAAATAAATAAATTTTCCTCTCGCCTCCAGATTGCCAGCTCCCTGGGACGGACCTGGAGATCAACCCCACGCTGGAGTCCCTGTGCCTCAGCATGACGGAGCATGCGCTGGGCGGTAAGGGACACGGGCTTAGTCATAATGAGCACATTGAGTCTGTATTGCCTAGGGTTGATGTGAATCATTTCACTGACCATTTCACAAAACTGTAGCAGCTCCCACAGGACTTTAACTGTGTTGCATGTCACCCCAAAAACGTTTCATTTGCCTGTTGGAGTCATAGTTGGGAGAGTTTGCCAAAATTAGTTCATAAATATGAATCCTAGGGCAACCCCTCCCCTTTAAATCCTAAATCTTTCCAAGAAAGGTACCCTAAAGAAAAATATTATTATTATTATTATTATTATTATTATTATTATTATTATTACTATTATTATAATATTGAGGCTGGACAGCCATCTGTCAAGAGGGTTTGATTGTGCTTTTCCTGCATGGCAGAAGGGGGTTGGACTAGATTGCCCATATGGTCTCTTCCAATTCTATTATTATTATTATTATTATTATTATTATTATTATTATTATTCTGACATAAAAACACAATATAACACAGCAAATGAGATATATATGCTGGATTTTGTATTATTGTTAATATTATTGAGGCTGGATGGCCATCTGTCAGGGGGGCTTTGATTGTGCTTTTCCTGCATGGCAGAAGGGGGTTGGACTAGATGGCGGATCTGGCCTCTTCCAACTCTATTATTGTTGTTGTTGTTTTTGTTGTTGTTGTTTTTGTTGTTATTTTACTGACATAAAAACACAGTATGACACAGCAAATGAGAGTTATATGCTGGATTTCTTATTATTAGTATTATTATTATTACTGATGCTGGATGGCCATCTGTCAGTGGGGTTTTGATTGTGCTTTTCCTGCATGGCAGAAGGGGGTTGGACTAGATTGCCTATATGGTCTCTTCCAACTCTATTATTATTATTATTATTATTATTATTATTAGTAGTAGTAGTAGTAGTAGTAGTATTTACTGACGTAAAAACACAGTATGCCATAGCAAACGATATATGTATGCTGGATTTTGCATTATTATTATTAATAATAATAATATTGAAGCTGGACGGCCATCTGTCAGGGGGACTTTGATTTTGCTTTTCCTGCATGGCAGAAAGGGGTTGGACTAGATGGCCCATGTGGCCTCTTCCATTATTATTATTATTATTATTATTATTATTATTATTATTATTCTGACATAAAAACACAGTATGCTATAGCAAATGAGATCTATATATGCTGGATTTCGTATTATTTATTTACTTTTATTTTATTTACTTTACTTATATACTGCTGTTCTCAGCCCGAATACTATTACTATTAATATTATTGAGGCTGGATGGCCATCTGTCAGGGGGCTTTGATTGTGCTTTTCCTGCATGGCAGAAGGGGATTGGATTAGATGGCCCATATGGTATCTTCCAACATTATTATTATTATTATTATTATTATTATTCTGACATAAAAACACAGTATGCCATAGCAAACGATATATATATATATGCTGGATTTCTTATTATTATTATTATTATTATTATTATTATTATTATTGAGGCTGGACGGCCATCTGTCAAGGGGCTTTGATTGTGCTTTTCCTACATGGCAGAAGGGGGTTGGACTAGATGGCCCACGTGGCCTCTTCCAACTCTATTATTATTATTATTATTATTATTATTATTATTATTATTATTATTATTTTACTGACATAAAAACACAGTATGCCATAGGAAACGATATATATATATGCTATTATTATTATTGTTATTATTTTACTGACATAAAAACACAATATGCCATAGCAAACGATATATATAGGCTATTATTATTGTTATTATTATTATTTTCTGACATAAAAACACAGTATGACATAGCAAATGATATATATATGCTGGATTTTGTATTATTATTATTATTATTATTATTATTATTATTATTATTATTATTGAGGCTGGACGGCCATGTGGTCTCTTCCAACTGTACGAGTCTCTCCTTCTCTCATTCTGCGATCTGATCAGGTGAGGGTTGGACTAGATGCCCCTTTGGATCCTCTTCCAACTGTACGATTCTCTCCTCTCTCGTTTTGCAGACGGCACCGACAAGACCTCCACCATTTGAACGAAGAAGCTGGATCTGCTCGCGTTCCCGAGGAGAAGCTTTAGGGTGGCTGTTTATTTTTTTCCTCCCCCCATTTTCCTTTCATTTCCCCTTCTGCCCCCAGGACACATCGCTTGGGGCTGGGCTGGGCGAACCCACTTCTTCTTCTCCTCTCTCTCTCTCTCTCTTTTTGCCTCCTTCCTTTCTTTCAAACCACCTCCAGTCTTTCCCTCGCAGACGGAGGGGACAAAAAGCTGTCACTACAATCTTACCATCTTATTATTGTGTTCTAATATTTTTCTACTTTTTATTATTATTATTATTATTATTGTTATTATTATAACTTCAGCTATTGGTTTAATATTTCGATGTACACGGGAGCTGACAGATATTTTTTTGTTTTGTTTTGTTTTCTCTCGCTTTTTCCCCCCCAAAACTTGCCAAGGGGCAGGAGAAGGCTGAATTTGGGCCGTGTAATTATTCCCTTCCCCTGTCCATTTTGTTTATTATTATTATTTCTTCCTTCCCTCCGCCTTCTGTGACCCCAACCCACCTTTTTATTTACTTTCCCCCCTTTTATTATTCCTTTGTAATAAGGGGATACGATATGCAGAAGACGGAGAGATTTGTCCTCGATGGCAAAGTCGTAATGAGAGAAACTAGCTTTACCAGGCTGGGCATTGGAGGAGAAAAATGGTGGGGAAGGGATGACGACGATGATGATGATGATAATAATAAGAATAATAATAAGGTGGGGGACGCAGCAAGTTGTACAGGTAACTGACAAATTATTTTTTAAGAAGTGCCTCGAAATATTTCTTCTTACCCAAAGCAAGTTGGCAGGACACAAACAGAGCGGGTGCCCAAGCGTTAACGCGAACCGTGTCGAGTCTCCTTCGTTTCTTATTTTTAGGAGAGCAAACGCAAACGGGGTCTGCAACGCAAAGATACGGGCCTTCCAAACTTTCCCCTATTAATAAGAATTAGTGAGACTCTTAACTCTTGATTCGCGAGAGAGGAGAGGAGTTGTCCGTATTGTTTCATTGACGCAGTTCGAACGGGTGATGTTTTCTTTTCGTCGGGCTCCGTTTTGGGGTTTCGGGAGCCAAAGTTCTCAGTTGAGCTGGTTTAAGATTCTTTTTTTTTCCCTATTCGCCCCAATAATGAAAAGATGGGGTGGTTTTTCGATGACTCAAGTCATGAATTTCCAAGAGGTATATTTTTAAAGGGTCTGTCTTAACCGAGATTGGGGTTTGCCGAGCCAGCAAAGCATTGCGGAAACATCCAAAATGTCCTTTTCGTTGTGCAGACGGCGGTTCCTTTAAGCTTCGTGGTGCTAATGAATTAACCGTCGCACTCTTAATACCCCGAATAAAGAGGGAAGCTAAAGCAACGGTCCCCAAAGTTCCCCAAAGTTCGGCCTTGCGAGTGTTTTGGACTCCCAAACGCCGGCCAATCTGGAATCCAAAAACACCCAGAAGGACCGGGAAGCTAACGCAATGGTCCCCAAAGTTCAGCCTTGCGAGTGTTTTGGTTTCCCAAATGCTGGCCAATCTGGAATCCCAAAAACACCCAGAAGCTTACGCAACGGTCCCCAAAGTTCCCCAAAGTTTGGCCTTGCGAGTGTTTTGGACTCCCAAACGCYGGGCAATCTGGAATCCAAAAACACCCAGAAGGACCAGGAAGCTAACGCAATGGTCCCCAAAGTTCCCCAAAGTTCGGCCTTGCGAGTGTTTTGGACTCCCAAATGCCGGCCAATCTGGAATCCAAAAACACCCAGAAGGACCGGGAAGCTAACGCAACGGTCCCCAAAGTTCCCCAAAGTTCGGCCTTGCGAGTGTTTTGGACTCCAAACGCCGGGCAATCTGGAATCCAAAAACRCCCAGAAGGACCGGGAAGCTAACGCAACGGTCCCCAAAGTTCGGCCTTGCGAGTGKTTTGGACTCCCAAAYGCCGGCCAATCTGGAATCCAAAAACACCCAGAAGGACCGGACTTTGGGAAACGCTGATCTTTGGAGGCGAAGCGATCCTACAAACCCCGTTGCCTTTTGATATGCGGGGAAAGGGGGGGACGACCTTGCCCCCAAAGTTATGGATCCGTACAAGTGAACATGAGTCGGAGTCGCTTTTTCGTAAACGAAACACTACAAAAGGAGCCCTTTGAAACGCTTGCCTCCATCGTCGTATTTCCTCCGAATCCTGTCTTTTTTTTCTGCAACTCCTTGTTGCGGAAAGGAGGAAGACGCAGCCACGCTTCTCTTCTTTTTTGCCCCCCAATTTGGATATTTTTTGGATAGTGGGTCAAATCCTGGAGCCCTGCAAAATTGGACGTGGCTTGGGAGCATAGGAACTGAGTCCCGTTGCCGAAAACACCCAACGTGAATCCTTAGGAGTATCTACACCAGAAATGGGCAAATTCTGGCCTTCTGGATGTTTTGGACTCCAACTCCCACCATTCCTAACAGCCTCAGGCCCTTTCCTTTTCCCCGTCAGCCGCTTAAGCAGCTGAGGGGAAAAGGAAGGGGCCTGAGGCTGTTAGGAATGGTGGGAGTTGGAGTCCAAAATGTCCAGAAGACCAGAATTTGCCCATGCGTGGTCCACACTCTTGAAACAAACACAGTTTGACACCACTTTAACTTTGCAATCGTGACAAAATCTGAGCCTTCTCTGCCAAATAGTGATTGTCTCTCACCAAAATGCTGTGGGAGTTGTAGTTTGGGCAGGCAAGAGAAGGCTCAAGGCCTTGCAAAGCTAATACTTACATAACTCCTAAGCATTCAGCCATTAAAGTGGTGCCAAACCGCGTTATTCCGGCAGTGGGGATGCACCCAAGGATTCAGGCAGAGGCTGTTGTCGGCAAAGGGGAATCCAGAGGCGCAGCTGCGCTGTGGAACAGATGCAGTTCGGTGTTTTGCAATCCTGGGAGTTACTGTTTCCCAAGGTTTTTTCCCCAAGGATTCAGGCAGGGGCTGTTGTCGGCAAAGTAGAGTCCAGAGGTGTGGAACAGATGCAGTTTGGCACCCCTTTGTAACTGTTTTGGCTCAGGGCTTTGGAATATTGAGAGTTGTAAATCGTGAGAATCTCTGCCCAAAGAGTTCTGGTGTCTCCCTGAACTACAGCTCCCATGGCATTGCAATTTGGAGGGCCACAACACTCTCTTTGAGCAAAGAAAGGCCTTGTAAAGCTACAGCAATCCTGGGATTTGTCTTTCCCAAGGTCTTTCCCCCTTTTCTCTGCCCAAAGAGTTCTGGTGCCTCCCTGAACTACAACTCCCACTGTATTGCAGTTTGGAGAGACACAACTTGCTCTTTGGGCAGAGAGAAGGTTTGTCAAACTACAGCAATTTTGGAAGTTGTCGTTTCCCAAGGTCTTTCCCCCTTTTCTCTGCCCAAAGAGTTCTGGTGCCTCCCTGAACTACAACTCCCACAGTATTGCAATTTAGTAAGACACAACTCACTATTTCAGCAGAGAAAAGCCTTGCCCAACTACAGCAATCCTGGAAGTTGTCGTTTCCCAAGGTCTTTCCCCCTTTTCTCTGCCCAAAGAGTTACGTCGCCTCCCTAAACTAAAACTCCCACAATACTGCAGGTTATTGAGACACAACTAACTATTTCAGCAGAGAAAAGCCTTATCCAACTACAGCAACCTGGGATTTGTCATTTCCCAAGGTCTTTCCCCCTTTTCTCTGCCCAAAGAGTTCTGATGCCTCCCTGAACTACAACTCCCACAACATTGCAATTTGGTAAGACACAACTCACTATTTCAGCAGAGAAAAACCTTGCCAAACTACAGCAATCCTGGAAGTTGTTGTTTCCGAAGGTCTTTCCCCCTTTTCTCTGCCCAAAGAGTTACGTCGCCTCCCTAAACTAAAACTCCCACAGCACTGCAGTTTCATGAGACACAACCCACTCTTTGACCAGAGAAAAGCCTTGTTGTCATTTCCCAATGTCTTTCCCCCTTTTCTCTGCCCAAAGAGTTCTGGTGCGTCCCTAAACTACAACTTCCACAGCATTGCAATTTGGAGAGACACAACTCACTATTTCAGCAGAGAAAAGCCTTGCCAAACTACAACAGTCCTGGAAATTGTCGTTTCCTAAGGTCTTCTTTTCTCCGCCCATAGAGTTCTGGTACCTCCCTGAACTACAACTCCCCACAGCATTGCAATTTGAAGAGACACAACACATTCTTTGAGCAGAGAGGCCTTGTAAAACTACATCAATCCTGGGAGTTGTTGTTTCTCAAGGACTTTCCCTCTTTTCTCTGCTCAAAGAGTTCTGATACCTCCCTGAACTACAACTGTCCGCAGCATTGCAATTGGAGAGACACAAACCACTCTTTGGACACAGAGAGGCCTTGTAAAACTACATCAATCCTGGGAGTTATTGTTTCCCAAGGACTTTCCCTCTTTTCTCTGCCCAAAGAGTTCTGGTACCTCCCTGAACTACAACTGTCCGCAGCATTGCAATTTGGAGAGACACAACTCACTCTTTGAGCAGAGAGAGGCCTTGTAAAACTACATCAATCCTGGGAGTTGTTGTTTCCCAAGGACTTTCCCTCTTTTCTCTGCCCAAAGAGTTCTGGTACCTCCCTGAACTACAACTGTCCACATCATTGCAATTGGAAGAGACATAATCCGCTCTTTGGGCAAAGAAAGGCCTTGTCGAACTACATCTCCCTGGAATTCCATTGCCTTGAGCCAGAGCAGTTAAAGTGTCTTCAAACTGCTTCCAACAGTGTAGATCAGGCCTGGGCAAACTTCGGCCCTCCGGGTGTTTCGGACTACAACTCCCACAATTCCTAACAGCCAGTAGGCTGTTAGGAATTGTGGGAGTTGTAGTCCGAAACACCCGGAGTGCCGAAGTTTGCCCAGGCTGGATGTAGATGAATCCTAGATCAAAATTGGTTTCGAACGAACCAAAAGTTTGTCAAGTTTGTTTTTATTTTCCTGCAAGATTCCAAACGGAGAGAAGTTTGCTGGACCTATTTCGCCTCTGGTCATATGTGTGCATTGTCCGTGCACGCGTGTATACACATTCTTGTGCATGTGAATGCTCTTTTTTTTTTTTTAATTTTTCCAGACCCATTATTGGCCTTTTTTTCCCAAAGCGTATACCGAACAGTAGCATCCAAAAAAAAAACGGGGAAAAAATTACAAACAAAAAAAAAACTAATAATAATAATAATTCCAGAACTGAAAAAAAATAAACAAACACGAAAAAAAATATTTCTAAGAGAGAGAGAAAAAAAATAGGTAGAGAAATACAAGGTTCCTGTTTCAAATAGAAAAAAAAATGTTATTTTAGATACATTTTATTATGAAATAACTTTTGTTATGACTATGGCTGGTAACCATGAATACGTTATTTAAAAAAAAAACACAAAAAAATGTTTTACAAAAAAAAAAACAAATAATAATAATAATTCCAGATTCTGACTTTAGATTGCTTTGTTGGACTCCTTTGCTGCTTTTTTTCCCCCCTTCCCCTCCCTTCTCCACCTGACCTTTTTCCAGTTTTTTCAAAGGGGGGGGGGTTGTTTTTTGGCTTTGTAAAAGGCATACAGAATTTAAGTATTATTAGTCCTTTTTTATTAACCTCTATGATAAAGCTGTGCTTATTTTGTATTAATTTCTTTTCAGGCGTTTGGGTTTTTTCTTTTGGTTGCCTTTGGTTTCGGGGGTGGAGTTCTGGCACGAAATTTGGGGGGAAACCCATTTGGAGCCCTTCTCGAAATGTCACCGTTTTGAGAGGGACTGCAAAGCCCATCAAGCAGTGGTTCTCAACCTTCCTAATGCCTTGACCCCTTAATACAGTTCCTCATGTTGTGGTGACCCCCAAACATAACATTATTTCCCTGTTGTCCCATGATATGAGATTAGGACTCTGGCTGGAGAGAGCTAAGGACACGTTAATGCAGTGGTTCTCAACCTTCCTAATGCAGTGACACCTTAAGACAGTTCCTCATGTTGTGGTGACCCCCAAACATAACATTATTTTCGTTGCTGCTTCACAACTGCCATTTTGCCCCGTGATATGAGATTAGGACTCTGGCTGGAGAGAGCTAAGGGCACATTAATGCAGTGGTTCTCAACCTCCCTAATGCTGTGACACCTTAAGACAGTTCCTCATGTTGTCGCAACCCCCAGACATAACATTATTTTCATTGCTACTTCACAACTGCCATTTTGCTGCTGTTGTCCGGTGATATGAGATTAGGTCTCTGGTTGTAGAGAGCTAAGGAAACGTTAATGCAAGGGTTCTCGACCTCCCTAATGCCGTGACCCCTTAATACAGTTCCTCATGTTGTGGCGACCCCCAAACAACATTATTTTCATTGCTACTTCACAACTGTTCCTCATGTTGTGGTGACCCCCAAACATAACATTATTTTCGTTGCTACTTCACAACTGCAAAGCCCAGCAGGCAGTGTTTCTCAACCTTCCTAGTATCCCTTAGTACAGTTCCTCATGGTGACCCCCAAACATAACATTATTTTCGTTGCTACTTCACAACTGCAAAGCCCAGCAGGCAGTGTTTCTCAACCTTCCTAGTATCCCTTAGTACAGTTCCTCATGGTGACCCCCAAACATAACATTATTTTCGTTGCTATTTCATAACTAATTTTGCTACTGTTGTCCCATGATATGAGATTAGGACTCTGGTTGGAGAGAGCTAAGGACACATTAATGCAGTGCTTCTCAACCTCCCTAATGCCGTGACACCTTAATACAGTTCCTCATGTTGTGGCGACCCCCAAACATAACATTATTTTCATTGCTACTTCACAACTGCAAAGCCCACCAGGCAGTGTTTCTCAACCTTCCTAGTGTCCCTTAGTACAGTTCCTCATGTTGTGGTGACCCCCAAACATAACATTATTTTTGTTGCTACTTCACAACTGCAAAGCCCACCAGGCAGTGTTTCTCAACCATCCTAGTGTCCCTTAGTACAGTTCCTCATGTTGTGGTGACCCCCAAACATAACATTATTTTCGTTGCTATTTCATAACTGTAATTTTGCTACAGTTGTCCGGTGATATGAGATTAGGTCTCTGGTTGTAGAGAGCTAAGGAAACGTTAATGCAAGGGTTCTCGACCTCCCTAATGCCGTGACCCCTTAATACAGTTCCTCATGTTGTGGCGACCCCCAAACAACATTATTTTCATTGCTACTTCACAACTGTTCCTCATGTTGTGGTGACGCCCAAACATAA